AAGGGTCACAAGTGGAGTTGCAAAATGTTCAACTCCAAACGATGTTGGAGGTTGACTGTCGACTGCCACTTGCCTCTGCTCCCGCTTCCATTATGCGCTCAGCATTACAAAGACTGGCTCAACCAATCCTCCTCAGCGATGCCAATACCGCCCTATACGCCGCCAAAGACACTCTGCTGCCCCCAGTACCGTAAGCACAACAACAAAAAAAAACTCGCCGGCACGTGTTTTATGTAACGGCGATTTGTACAGGTTGTATCGAAACTTGTTGCGCATCCATCGTAGGTTGCCGATAGAGATGCGTTCGTTGGGAGACGATTATGTAAAGTCCGAGTTTAAACGGCACAAGACGGCGGATAATCCTGTCCATATCATGGGATTTCTCGTCGAATGGAACCGCTATCTCGACCAGCTAGACGTGCAGCTCGGTGCTCCGGGGACCTTTAGAGGGAGGAAAATGGACGATACCATGTTTGAAAAGGTGAGTGTGTCGTTTCAGAGGAAACTTGTCTAACACGCCCTAGATGACAAATGAACAACTCGGCCAGTTGTACGAACTCATGCACGCTTCCAAAGATGTTTGGAAACCAGTGGAAAAAGATGCAAAAAAGGATTAGCCGCATACTTATCCATATTTATTATATACATTTACAATATACCCCATTACTCCACTCTAGAAAATCGGCATGCATATCTGAGAGCTACCAATACTCTTCGTGACGATAGGCGACAATACCATTACGCTCTGCATCTACTCCCTCCTTTTGTCGCTTCTTCTTTTCGCTCTCCCACTTTTCAAACCACCCGTTCATCCTAGCCCGCGATTTCGCACTCCCAACATTCACCGTTGCGATCATTCGCACATAATTGACCGATAACGCAAAGCACGTCATTTCGAAAAAGGAGCTATGGAAGGTTAGCCGGGTTACATCGAGGTTTAGGGGCTTGCCTGTGCTCCGAGTAGGGAACGCCGTAGAGCATGACAGTCGGCGTCGAATTCCGCATCGGGCGTAGATACGACCAATTGTACACTCTATTCTGATCCCTCTGAATAATATGCGAAAGGTGCACTGTATCCGTCCCCGCAGGCGGCGTATACCTACGACTCTCAGTCCCAAACCTCTTTCTCACAAAGTCTATGGATACTCACGTCCATCCAGTAGGCCGCATCCCAACCACCTTCTTCCACCTTCCCTTCCACACCTCCAAATACTCGAGTAACCGGTCCGACGTGATATCCGAGAGCGGCCGCACATGGACCTGACACTGCATCGGGTCGTCCCCCACCATTTCTAATAGTTCAGGGTCAAGGTGCGATTGACATTGAAAGAATGCTCTTTTACGCGGTTCGCAATAGATTTTGGTGCCGAGTGCCCGGGCGATCGATTTTACCACGCGTTCTTTTCCAATCGTGTACGTGCTAGATGGCCTGAATTAGAAGGGTTGTAATGGTAGAGTTGGACGTACCCGATGACGACGAGAACGGAATCAACGGGCGATTCTTCTTCTTCCTTGGGAGCCTCCTCTGACTCGCCACCACCACCTAGCCAACTCTTGACATAGTTCTTGAGTCCTCCACTCGACTTGGCCTCCAACAAGTTCGTATCACCCCCGTTCTTGACGATCCGTACCGCCAACTCGGTACACGCATCAATC